TGGTGTCGCGCCCTTGGATAACCACCCATGAGCCGTCACCAAACTTCACCGTACCGGTAACATCGTCGTCGAGCTCGGAGAAGGCTTCCTTGGAGCCCGTCATGTGGTTGCTGACACCAGAGTCTAGATACCACCACTGCTCCTGGTCGTCGCCCACACGTCCGAGGTGGACTTGGGGGCGTGGTTCGTCGAGGTTGACAGCCTTCAGGGCCTTCCCAGGTTCTTCCACCACCGTCACCTCTTCCTTCTCCTCGGCCTCGACGTCGTGCAGTGCACAAAACATCGCCATCAGGATAGTGGTATCATCCTCATCATCCGCTTGCGCCAGATGAGCCTGAGCCTTCGTCTCCTACTTACGGTTTGGGCACTCCCGTGTCCAATGGCCCGTCTTCTCACAGCACCGGCAGGCGTTGAGGTCGACCTGCTTCTTTATCTCCGAAGAAGACTTGCCGCGGCGTTTGCCATCGCCACCGCGGCTGGAGGAGGCTACTTCGGAGTTCCTCTGAGCAGCCCACTCCTCCTCTGTCAGCAGCAGCTTACTGCTGTCCTTCGTTGCTGTCGCCTGCTCTAGGCGCTCGTCCACCGCCCACAGACGGCCTGTCACATCCTCAATGGTGAGGGTGGACAAGTTCAGCATCGTCTCTATGGAAAGAGCGATCTGAATGCACTTTGCTGGCACGGAGTGGAGGTACTTGGAGACCGCCTCCTCTTCGTCGATGGTGACGCCGTGGCTCTTCAGCTTGCTGATGAGCGTCTACAGGCGGAGAGAGAAATTCTCCACTGTTTCACCATCCTTGAACTTGAGATTGGCGTACTCCTGCTTCAGAAGCTGGGTCGTCGCCTTCTTTGCGCGGTCGGAACCGACGCACATCGCTGCAATAGCCTCCCACACCTCCTTAGCAGAGCTCTTCGCCCCCAACGGCTCCCTGTACTCCGTCGGTACAGCAGTGAGGATAGCTTCCAACGCTGATATGTCATCTTTTTCATTTTCGATGCCTTTGTCAACAGCATTCCAGAGCCGTCGGGCTCTGACCTTGATTTTTATGGTCACCGACCACTCTCTATAGTTGGTGCGAGTCAGCGTCGGCCAACTGGTGCCGCTGACCTCCCGCACCTTGTGAACAACGACCTCCGGTCGTGGCTGGGCAGCCACAGCAGTGCCACTGCTGTCTCCCATCTCCGAACCGTTCGTCATCGCCAGCGGTTAGTCCGACAACGGCACTTGTACGACTCTGATACCACTTGTTGGCCCATATGATCACCGGCTCATGTGAGTCGACCACTCACCAGTTTTGTCGAGCACCTGCTAGTGTTGCCGAGCACCCACTAGCTATGCCGACCGCGAACAAACGTTGTCCGACCACACACACTATGACTAGAGGTAGAAGAAGAGGGAGAACTGTTGAGTTACAGTAACAAACTATATATACAACTCTACTTATCTAGTTCTAGTACAGCTGCCCTGCTGCAACAGTGATCAGATAACACAACAGAACTGACTTCTGCGTCTGTCCCTGCATGTGGCTACAGTCTGGCAGGTGAGCCATTCAGCGTCTGCCTCTACAGCGGTTATAGTACCACAGTAAGAAACCTTTTCGACATCGTCTTTTCTTGTTGTGTGTTAAAAAAAACAGTAGATTATCTAACCGTTACAACAGAACAGATGCACCGCGAAGGGAAGCACAAGCACATCTCGCCTGAACTCATCATACACACGACCGCGTCGTCGAGCGAGGTCATCATGAGATATCTATCTATCTATCGTGTTCGTATCATTATATGAAGACCGCCGCGTCCGTCCAAGCGCGTGCGTCGCCGTCGGGCAGACTCAGCACGGAACGCCCGGCCGGCTTCGATGGATGGATCAGCAGCTGCTGGCAATCCAACGTGATGAAACAGCATATCCGAGCCGCTTCGCGCATGGCACCGCCGCCCTTGATCTGCTAATCAGTTGCCGCCGCATTGGCATTCGTCTGTGCCGGCGAACGACGCAAGCGCGCTCCCGGCGGTGAGGCGGGCGGGCGGTGCTCGCGCGCGCACGCAAGTCCTGCGCGCCGGTTTCGTACGAACATGACGATCGTCTGGCCATCTCGTCTCTTTCCAGTACATAAGTAGTTCCTGGCAAACGTTCGTCTTCAATTCAAATGAAGCTTGTGCCTTTATGGGCCTGGGCCTGGCTGACGACGTCCACTACCTAGCATATGAAAAGGAAGGCCGATGGCGTGAGGTGGTCTTCCTTCGTTGAGACGACGTTTCATTCACGTAACATACTTCCCCCGTCCTAAATAACTATAGTTGTTGGTTTGCATATCGTAAATTTAATTTAATTTATAAAAAATATGTACAATATTTGTATCTTCAAGTAAATTTATTAAAAAAACTAGATTTAAAAATCTTTCTAATGATACTAATTATATACCGTAAATATTAATATTTTTTAATATATATTTAGTCCAAATTGTTTCTCGGAAAGCAAAAACGATAGGTATTTAGAGACGGGGGAGTAAATGTTGTCGTCCCGATTAGTACAACTTTACTTTTATTACTGAAATAGTTTTTTTTAACTTGGACTCCATGATCAGCTTTACGTACTAAAAGCATCACTAAGAGCTTTTCTAAATCTCACTCTCTAAATCATTATTTGAAGAGTCATTTGCATAAAAATCGTTTTCTATATATTTTCATTCTCCAACAGTTCTTCTATATTTCATGCGCACTTTGGAGAGCCATTTTCGTCTTCTATTTTTGTTTAGCGAAAAATCTGGAATAGGAGATGGCTATACTTGGATAACCATTTAGAGAGGTTGTTCGAGGCTAATTTTTTACTAAAATCTCTATTCCTAAAATTTAGGAAGGATATGGAGAGTCTCTCCAAGAGTTTTTCTAAATCTCACTCTATAAATCATCATTTGGAGAGTCATTTCCATAAAAATCGCTTTCTATATCTTTTAACTCTCCAACAGTTTTTCTATATCTCGTGTGCACTCTAGAGAGCCATTCTCGTCTTCTATTTTTTGTTAGCGAAAAATCCGGAGTAGAAGATAGCTATATTTGCATAACTATTTAGACAAGCTGTTGGAGGGTAAATTTTCACTAAAATCTCTATTCCTAGCATTTAAAGAGGATTTAGAGAGTCTTTTGGAGCTGCTCTAATCGACTGAAACTATTTTGAAAAGTCGTTTGCTAAAATAGTTTCTAGAAGAGAGAGATGAAAGACACCTCCATATATACGGCACCCATCCTAATGTGAGATCGAGTTTTGAGGAGCTTCACTTAAGGAGCACATGGACTAAAAGCAAGTAACTTTCCCGGAGAAAGATTCATGTGTACCTTTTAAATGAACTAATTACTAGTTGGGTTGACAACTAAAAAATATTTTTGGAGATGTATAATAGGATATACGGTGAAGTTACTCTAGTTGATGCAGCCTGTAGGGCACGTTGGTAGAGTCCCACTCTAACTCATTTATTCTTTGATTAAGTAATTCTAACTGATTCTAGTGGGAGAGCATGATGGGGAGCACGTGAGAATTGATTCTGAAATGATTCCGATAAAAATTAGATAGGAAGCAATGAGGAACAGGTTTTGTACTCTCATCTTCCAGTTCCAGTATAAATGAAGAAGTAATTCTTAATTATCTGCTTTCTACCATAATCTATGTGAGATTTTATGGTTTCGTTAAAGAGGAGTGATTCTCACAATAAATCTGCTCCAAGAAACGCCAAATGGCCCGTACCATACACCGATACAAGCATCTACAAATATCAGCAGTGTTATGCTAACTGAGATCAACCATATGCTCTAGCCTGATGAGGCATCCTTTGCAGAATTTCAGCAAACTTTCGCCGCACCACTGAGGCGGGAAGCCATGCGGGTACTTATTCTTGAGAGGTGCCGGCATCATGCTCTGGTGACGGACGTCAAGTAGGCCAAGCGGTCCCAACGCTTTACCCTTGCTGTACCATCGCAAATTCTAATGTCGTATCGTCCTTCGGCTGCTAGGCTCTAACTTATCGACATTCTTGGTTGGTCCTGAACACTAACGTTTTGCCAGCGGATGTGGAACAGCCGAAACTTGTCACTTTCCCGTTCTCTTAATGAAAAAAGAGGCTACGGCATGCTCGCCAAAAAAAAAAACATATGCTCTCTTTTGGAGGTAGTGACACAGAGCCAGTTCTTTTTCTTCTATAATATTTAGAAAAATAAAACATATCGTAGTCTATGCATAGACTCCCCTCAGAATTGGGTACACGTTTTGTTTTTAACAAGAGATTTGCATCGCAGATATCACATTCAGCATAAACCTTATATTGCACATAAGATGAAAATGTATCAAGGAAACCATATAAAATGGACTGATGCTCTCATATCTACACATCACGTAAGAGAGAATTATTTGGAGTCATCCTTGATCTCATTAGCATTGTTTTCACTACCTTTAGGATGATAAGACAACTCTTCCTTTGAGTATACCATCGGCATTGGAAAATTTGCCCCGACTTGGCCAGTCATTTGCACAATTCAGTTTGCTTATAAAGCAAACTGCCAACAAGGCATGGGATCGATGCTTAACCTTTCTGTGTGAGCATCCATGTTCATGGAAGATCCAGGTGCCTATTGTATCCACTGTTTACTGGCTCTGAGGTAGCATCTGGTCATCAGGCATCTGCAATTCCAATTTAGATGACAACTGCTGCCGTCTGAATTAGTGTTTGCTGAGTTGAAATTCAATGCCAGGTTGTACAGTTTCATTTTTGCTAGATGTTAGAATCTCAATTCTATCCTTGAAAGTAATAACTGGTTCTTCACTCGAACCAAAGCCATTGGATCACCTTCTTCTGAAACTTGAACAGCATAAAGCTTCTCCATCCAATCCATGATGGTTACATTTGAAGTTTTCAGAACACAAAACACATCTGCTGCCTTAAAGCTAGAGGGAGGACAACTCTTAGTTACCAGCACCTGAGGCAACTTCATCATTCACAACAGCTGAATTATCATCAGGAATCTTTGCTGTTTCCAGTTGTCTTTTCTGAAGACCCTTCAGGTAGGCTAATGAATGCCGGATGCATCTCTGTACATATATCAAAAATAGATGCAGCTTCTGGTTTGTTTGTGTTTGTCTCATCTTCAGAATTTGAGGAAGAGGTACGATATAAATTTTCTTCCAGTGAGGACCCCTGATCTTGTAGAATATTTCTGCTCATGGGATCAGTTGCTCCATCATCAATGATATGTTCCTTGTCATCATCATCAGAAACTAACATGCCATCAAGGCACTCCGTATGTACTGTTTCAACATCTGGTTCCCGAGGAGATCCTTGAGATTCAACTCCACTACTAGACCCGAGCAGAGTATCCCTCCTTACAACATTAAACAAAATACCATTTTCAATCTTTTCAGGCTGCAACAAGTCACCTTCAGAAACCACAATACTTGTTGAAGGGCCAAATGTCGATCTAGGGGTAATGGTATCATGGATATCTAAAGCTGAATTGTCCAAGCTCCTATCGATTGCTTCTCTACTCACTGCATGAGCTGCCAAGGTACCAGCATTTGGTGTCACAAGATCAGTTATGTCTTCCCTTGATGGAATTGTTCTGAATTCTGTGTCGATCTCAAGATTCTGAACAAAGCTGATGAATTTATTGGCTGAGGCTGTCCTCATAAGAGGGCCACCACTTCTTGTCCAAGAGTGTAAATCAATACTCTCAGATTCACTGTCACTGCTCTCGTGTGCACTTCTCTGAAGATACTGGTTTCTGGTAGATGTTCCAGCAACTCCTCCAGGTCCTTGAGGAGATGTAAGCATTTCTTCTTCAAGAGAACCAGTTGAATTTTCTCTTGCTATGAGATTCCAGGATGGAATCCTCCTAGATGGGCGGAACCTGATTGCTGGACCATATCCTTGCGATGCGGATGCTCTTTCTGCACTCCTCTTTAGCCTACGCAAGTGGTTCAGGAGGGCAACACATTCATCCAGTGCAAGCTCAATAGCACAATTTGCCCTGATGGCTGATAGCTTTTCCCAAGTGCATCTCCTACCTTGATTCGCAGCCTTCTGAAGCTCAGCATAAGACGGGTTCTGTATCATCTTGGAATACTGATGATAGTGGGAAATAAATCATGTGTAAGTTTACTGATTACCGTGTCGATAGCTGACATTTGCTTGAATAATGTGAAAAGAACATTTGCATGAAAGGAGAGAGAATAGGAAACATTGCAGACCTGCGCAAGAGTGGCTGGCATAACAACTGTAACATCGCCTTCCCAATCTTGAGCAAATAATTTAGCTAATCCTCCTAGAGGAAATCCAAGTTCCAGAACTTGATTACACCTATGTTTAACTTCCATCTCAGCAAGTTCAGCGAGCTAAATACAAGAAATAATAAACACGTATTAGTACATCATAACATGCCTGCAGATGATACTTTGGCAAAATGAACTATCTGGCCAGAGTATCCATCTATTATTTGCAGCAAATAATTCTAGCAGTGTAGTGGGACGTTATGCTACTTAGGCATCAACATGCTACCATTCCTGGTATGTCGGAAGGCATGTCATATGACAACTGTAGGTAAAAGAAGAAATATCTTTATGTTTTACATGGATTGGAAGCATGTCCAATAAAAAGTATATCTGCATTGTAAGAGGAAATAAGACAAACTCAACAAAAAGAATACAACAAGGAGAAACTATTTGACATACCTTGGCAGCTAAGCTGCCTCCATAAGCCCTAACGATTTCCTTTAGTCTCAACAGCGGAGCTATGTGAGGATTGGCTTGGCTTACTATGAAATGATTCACATTGAATAGTTCCTTCAATTGCTTCATGGGTAAATCGCTTTCTAAGCTCCCATCTCTCCAGCGGCGGGTTGGAGCAACAGTTCGTTCCTCTATGCCTAATAAGAATGGAGCATGGAAAGGAATGGTTTGACCAAATCTATCTTTTGCCATCAATTCTTGGGCCTCAAAAAGTCCAGGAAAAGCACAGGAAGCTGTTACTGCACTCCAGATAAGAACATGAGGTGATGTTAAATAGTTTAGGCATCGAGGCGGCTCATGCTTCCTTGGAGAACACACGGTGACAACAAGAATCCGACCAGTCATGTCATAAGCTTCTTGAAATGTCAAATTGCTGGTAAGGTTTCTCAAAAGCACCTGCAAGTGCCTTATATCATGAACAGCGCCTTGTGTCAAAATTCTTTTAACCATAGGAAAGATTCCACCCATCTGGTCAAAAAATTTCAAGGAATGCCACTCTTCAAAAAAGCTCTCCAGCTCAGGCCATGATCTTGTTGCTACTATAGAACACATTATCGAGCCAACACTTGATCCTGAAATTATCCTTGGCAAAAGTTTATGTTCTACCAAGGTTTTAACAACACCCACATGAAAGGATCCCAATGAAGCACCTCCACTTAGCAGCAAGGCTGTTCTACCAAAGGCATGTCTTGTCTCATGCATAAATGCGAGTTTCTCTTCAAGAGGCAACTCATCTGAATCAGAATCACAGACCATTTTCAGTTGAGTAGATACTTCCTCAATGTATTCCTTTATGAGTCTAGGCACCTGGCGAGCAAGAACATTACAATAAAATAAATTAATGACCAACATAGTGCTACACTAGTGTTACAAGCTCTAACACCTGCACACTGGAACAAAAGAACAACTATAAAGTGCAAACACAACAACCTGACAAAAAGATGTGCCAAAGATGCAATATGTTCATAATGCAATTGTCATTGTCCCTTATAGAATCGTAGGCTAAATGTTTTTCAGATCTTAATTTATAATCTGTGATTGCCTTTTGTAACTCAAAAGGAACAGGATAGACAACTACTAATACTTGTTCTACTTTTCAATCCTATTCCATATGAATGAAGAGTGGAATCTTGCCTAGTCAAGTCCAGATATGTACAGATGGGAATTGTTCATCCTCAAATTAGAGTCACGAGTTTATTCTCATATGCTAAAGCGAGTGGTCCAATATTGAAACTACATAAAATTAGCTAAGATTGACACACCGCTTCCTCCTAGTTAAAACATATAGTCTCTCTCAGAGCAATCATCAGATGGCGTCGAAATTTCGTTCGATCGACGCGATGGCAGAGCAATACGTACCTGCAGCCTCCCCTTGTGCAGTTCAGGGTTGCACATATTGCCGAGGTTCCTCAGCAGGTCCGCGCGCATGCAGAAGACGATGTCCCTGAGCGATCCCTCCTGGCGCCGGTGCCTGAGCTCGCGGAGCTTATTGCGGACGAGCTCCTCGTCGTAGAGGTCGGCGTCGCTGGCGCGGCGCGGGGCGGCCTCGTACTCCAGCATCCGTGCCGCGTGCGCCCACTCCTCGTAGGTGAGCGCGGCGCGCATCATGTTCCGCCAGAACTTGCGGCGGTAGGCGGACTGCACCCTCGCCCGCAGCCCCGCCCTGCCGCGGCGGCCCCGCAGCAGGAGCGCGACGGCGCAGACGGCGAGCAGGATCCCGCGCGTGTTGTCGCGCGGGTGCAGCCACGCCGCCGCGACGGGCAGCGCGTCGCGCAGCGCCGCGGCCAGGCGGTGCCACAGGCGCGCCGCGGAGCCGCAGAGCAGCACCCGGAGCGCGACGGCGCGGCCCAGCGCCGTGGACGGGCCGATGGCGAACGCCCCCACCGGCGCCTCGCTGGCGATGTCATCCATTTGGGTGGTGGCGCAGCGCAGCGCAGAGGGTCACCCGCTCACGGCGGCCGCGGGCGTCTTGGATGGCTGTATCGGTTCGGATCAGAGCTAGAGCTGGAAGGTCGGAGAAGGCGAGTGTTGCTTGACTACAGCTATCTACGCACGAGGGCATGGGCGCATGGCGTATTGGCGTGTTGAATTGGAGTTTGGCAAGTCGGGAGGAGGCGGCAGCGAGATGGGGGATCACAATTCACAAGAGGACGACGAGGAGTCGTGGGCGCGTCACGCATGGGGACAAGCGCCGGCGTCCGAGTCAGGAAAACGGGCGAGGAGACAAGGGAGGAGGTAGCGCAACGTAACCAACAACTACCCGTCCCGCGGGCAAGCACGGCAGATGGGTGGTGCCCAGGCCCGGCCCTGGGGCAGGGCGAGAGGAGCAGCCGTCCCAGGCCCAGGGAGCCGATGGGCCCCTCTCGGCCCTGTAAGGGCACGCAGCAGTGACTCGCCTCCGTGGTCCGTGCGATTCGGCGCGAGCGCGACGGCGCTGTTCGACTTTCTCTCATCCTCTTTACTCTGCATCGACTGCGAGTCGCCGGCTAGCTAGGGACGTCCGCACGACGCACGGCCGCATAGGGCGAGGGCAACTCGGCGACGCAGCACCAGGTATCTCTGTCTATGATCCATAATCATCTCTAATCATGTACAGTCGACGCTGCCCTACTTTATATAATTATATATTTATGTTGAATCTGATAGTGTTTTTGTGATTGATTAATCAGTGATTCAGAGACCTAGACGGATGGACATCATTTGAGATTTGCAAAAATTGCGATTTAATTGAGTATTCAAATATTCAATCTGCTAGCCACTACTCCCTAAGGTGATTGTTTAATCTTTGTGAATTCTCTCTTTATATAATTGTTTAATCTTTAACTAATTATTTCTCTAAATTTGACAGTACCATATCATCAAGAAAGTATACTTTTGTTAATAATAAAATAAAGAAGAACAAACGAATAGATAATTTGATATAATCACATAGCTCTTCCCAAGAGAGGTTAAATTGATTGACAACATTATGCATTGAGAATCAATTATTGAATGAGATTGATATTGACACCATCATCAATAACTTCGCATCGAGGAATGTTAGAAGAAATTTTTCATGTAATTTAATAAATATACAAATTATTTCATATGAATATTGCGTTTGCATTCAGCTCACCACTTATTAGTAACGTTGTGTATATATGTGTATATATACTGCCCATTAGTACTAGTAGTATATTGTTATGTTTATATAAAAAGGCCCAAAATTTCAATTTTGTTCTAGGTCCATACAAACTCAGGACCGGCCCTGGTGGTGCCGTCCGCCGCGCGGAGCTGCGCAGATCCCCGGCGAAAGTACGTTAGCGATTGGGATGGGCGCGGCCTCGAGGTCGGCCGCCGTAGGCGGTTGGTTTGGTTGCCCCCTCGCCGCTGAGGGAGACGGTGACGATGTGGAGGTGGAAGAATGGGGAAAACGGCTGGGTGACGCGCGCAGATCTGGGAATCTGTACAAGGGGACACGTGCCCTGGGCCTGGACGGTGGCTCGTACGAGGTCGTGAGATGACTTTTGGGGAAGACGCAGATTGAAGCGTCTTGTTTATCGTCCCATTAATAATCAAGGTATCACATGATCAAAAAATAATCAAGGTATCACGATAGACTCGTACAAAAGTCTGATACTAGAATCAGTGTCAGGGGAGTTTTATCCTCATTCGTATTAAATAATTTGCCACGTAGGTATTTTTGATGAGGTGGCATTATATTTAAGAAGAGAAAAAAAATAAAAAAAAGAATGAAACTCTTATGGCACAATTACCAACTCGTAATGAGTCATGTAATTAAGTACTTATGAAACTACATAATGAAACTATGCATCAAGAATGATTGTTTCATTGCATTTTATTTGATATGGCATTTTTATAAACAATGCTATGAAACTCTCCACAGGGACTGACCTAACTTGAAATAGTAATATTTTCGGTACCGCAAAGCGCAAACATAGCAATTACTAGTTATTTGCATTTTTACTAGTTTTTTTTTTTTTTTGCACAAGACCACTTGCGAATTTATTTCACAAGCCGTTTAGTAGATTGTCATAGCCTCCCAGGGATCATAGAAAGGCCAGCATGCTCACGGTAAAACCTGACCATCGTTTAGTCGATTGCCATAGCCTCCAGGGATCATAGGAAGGCCTAGCATGCTCAGGGTGAAACTTGACCACCATGTACGGGAACGCAAAACTCGAATAACGTAGTGACATATCTCAACTCAATTTGGTTGTCTGTATGCTGACAACATGTACGAGCAATACTATGGGTCCTTTTGACGTGGCTCCTGTACCAGCTTCACATACGACTTGGGTATCAAAGTGGGCAAAGTCACACCAAATGAGATCCCTTGTGCGGAGATGGAGCCGCTTTAGTGTCCGGAGATGGAGCGCCAAAAACTAGCTCTGTATGTAGGACTTTGGCAAAGACGGCGGAGCACCTCGCAAGGAGCCACACCAAACACATCCTATATGGCAACGGTATATTGCTTCATTCACGGTTTAGTGAGAAAGCATTTCAAACACGATGTCCATCGATTATATCTTACAATTTCTTTTTCCAGCTATTCTCATCCATATTATTGAGTTACAGCGCTAGTAGAGCACTGATGATGATCAGGGCGCTAGAGGACCACGTTCATCCGGTGAAGAATCTTCGCCAAGACTGCCATGGAAGAAAACCACCTGCGGAAGAAAAAAAACAGTCAACTTTTGTCACATTTTCCACATGCATGCCATCGGGGGGCGAGGTCTTCTGAATTCGTTATCCCAAAGCTAAAGTGACATTGAAGCATATTACTTACCACACCCTTGGCATCGAACATAATAATCTTTCTTCATCACAAGACCAGAGCCTCCGCAGACTTCGCATTTCTTCTGTGCGATCTGAACAATCAGGAAAGAAACGATCATGAATAAAGGATAGTAACGTGATCAAATGCAATTGATGGAACTGACAGAAATTCAGTTAGCAAAGACTGTCAGGAAATCATCTAAAAAATGACTGTCAACAAATTTCGGCTGACAATGGCTATGCAACTTAGGGTAAAAACGAATTAGAGTCCAAATGGATATATAGTATACTCAAGAAAGGCATTTTCTGTCTCTTGGTCTTGGTCCCTAAGGACAATTCCTTCAGCTCCAGGGCAAACTTACTTAGAAAAAAAACAGTACGGTAAAGAGCGAGAAGCAACAGGCCTAGCACTCACGATTCTTTTGCCGAACTCGACCCCTGCAACGACGAAAGGCGTCACTCCAGCTGCACGAACGATAAGCAAGAGCCGACGCTGTCAGACAATTGAACTCGTGGAACTGACAATATGCAATTCACTCGAGCGAGGAAACAGGTAGACGGGCCGCCCACCTACAGCGCCGACGACAATCTGCCAGGTGACCTGTGCGGGCGGGAGCGGGGAATCAGCGGCCGCGGAGGCGGCGGCCGCAACGGAAGCCGCGTCAACTGCGCAAACGCTGGTGGCGCCGCCTCGGCCAGCGGGAGCTCGCCTGCCGAGGCTGCCGCTCGGGAAGAGGCCGCCGCGGCCGGTGCCGACCAGGCCCGCCAGTGGGCCGCGACCCGGCAAGTGCGCGGGGTAAGCGCGCGCCTGCATCGCTGCGTTCTTTGCTCGCGACTGCTCCGATATTAGTTTGTGCAAGACGGAGGGCCGTGAACGTCCACTCGTTAGCGATTTTGTGGCGGACACGGTCTAAAACCGGCCGTTGTGCGTGTGCCGATGCGCGAGGGACCCAAGCACTGCCACGCGACGCACGCACGTCCACAATAAATTCCAATGAACCTGTTGCCAATTTGGCGGTTGCAACTTTTCTTTTGTCTGTCTTCCTTTTGGGTTAATTGGATCGGTGTCATTATAATTCTTGCGTTTCTGACAAATAACATTACTATTCAGTTTATTGTAAGAGTGCCATTATAATTACACTAGAGTCTGAAAAATATCATTATGTACACTTGCCGCGATGGTTGGCCCACATGCAGGTGTATACAGGGGTTACGTACATTCGTATGGACCGTGTTGCCCCTAGATTCTCAACGCCGGTTTGACTGGATCGACTCAATCGACTCAATCCATCCATTCCCCACCGTGTCCTCTCTCTCTCGCTCGAACCCTAGCCAGTCTGCCTCGGAGGCGACTGCGACCGGCGGCGACAGCAACTACGACTACCGAGGGCGGCGGTGAGCACCGCGGCTACTACTGCTCCTTCCCCGCCCCATCTGCTGAGCGGAGGCGACTGCGATCGGCGGCGGCGGCGACTACTGCTCGCGGCGGCGGCGACCGCGACTACCAAGGGCGCCGGCGTCGACCGCGGCTACTACTGCTCCTTCCCCGCCCCATCTGCTGAGCAGAGATGGCATCCACAGCTGCCAATTCAAGTGCTGCAGCAATGGACGACAGCATACCGAGGTATTTTCGATCTGACATGACTTTCCCTCGACGAATAGGCTAGTTGTTAGGTTACCCTAGTTGTTACTGCAATTTATTGTAGAACTCGTTGACTTGATCTGCTTATTTCCTGCTAGGACCGACCTCTTCTCGCTAGAGATTAAAGTTGAAGGTTTCAATACAACAGATGCGTTGGGTAGGAAAGTTTACACCAAAGGTTCGGTGATTAAGTGGAATGTCGAGATAGGGTCGTTTTCTTTAGACTTGTTGATGGAAAGCTTGCGAAATGAAGTTAAATGGGCCTCTAACCAGTTTGCATCTCTGTGGTTCTTTGACAAGAATGTGCAAGAAGATGTCAGATTAGTCAGTGACATTCAGATGATAAATTTGTTTGACATGTATAAGTCTGAAATGTGTTACTGTTTATTGGTAGGAGTCTTTGATAATGTTGTTGCTGATGCATTTGAGTATGAGTTGATAGAGCCTTTATGTGTTATTCCACCTGATGATAGAGCAGTCAACCCTTCTGATTTCAATCTTGATGCAAATGCTTGTGCTTCTGCCATTCTAAATGCAACTAATACTTCTACTGCTGCCATTCCAAATGCCCAAGCTTCTACTGATGCCATTCCAAATGCAACTAATGCTTCTACTGCTGCCATTCCAAATGCAAATGCTTCTTCTGCTGCCATTCTAAATACAAATGCTTCTTCTGCTGTCATTCCAAATGCCCAAGCTTCTACTGATGCCATTCCAAATGCCTAAACTTCTACTGATGCCAATCCTTGTATTGCCGATGAGTCGAACGTAGAGCCTGATAGGGAGCCAGACATCTTTGACAATGAAGAGGAGTATGTTGGGGTTGATGATGAGCACATCTACATTTCAGTACCACCTACACACCTAGCCAACACTGACAGTGCCCAACCATCTGTTGATAATGCTGATCCTGTTGTTGCTGATGGAGGTGCTCCTCTTGAGGCAGAAATTGATGATGCAGATCCCCAGGAAATAAATGTCCTCCACGATCCTAAAAATCCAAAGATTGTCAAGGGGCAATTGTTTCCTGACATAGTAACATTCAGGAAAGCTATTCGACATTACACTGTCAAGAAAGGTTTTGAGTTAGCTAAGTTGCAAACTGACCCAACAAGATTCATTGCACATTGTGCTGCCGAAGGTTGCCCATGGAGAATTCATGCATCTAGGATTTTTGATAATAAAACAATACAGGTTGGTGTGGTCCTTTTATTACTGTTTATAACTTATTCAGTTATACATATGATACTCATCTTAATTTCTTATGTAGATTAAAACATTACCTGCTGAACATAATTGTCCCACTACCAAGCTGAGGGAGGGAAAGATGGCTAGTCAAGGTTGGTGTGCAGATAGGTTGGCGGACTGGGTCAAGAAGAACCCAAATAAAAGAGCCAAGGATGCAAAGGAAAAGCTAGAAGGAGACTATGGCATTAAACTGAAATACTCCAAGACATGGTGTGGTTTGAAGGTTGCCCTACAACAGGTTCATGGGAAGTACTCAGAAAGTTTTCAGCTATTGTTCAATTAGAAAGCACAGATAGAAATGAGTTCTCCTGGAAGCATTGTAGAGATAGAGTTAGAAGGAAGAAGAAGAAGAAGCGCTTCAAGAGGATTTTTGTAGCCCTGAAGCCATGTATTGATGGCTTCTTAGCTGGTTGTAGGCCATTTATAGGTGTAGATGCGTCTGCATTGCATGGCAAATATAGAGGGCAGTTGGCATTAGCAACTTCTGTGGATGGGCACAGCTGGTTATACCATGTGGCATATGGTGTTTTTGATTCTGAAACAGAAGACAATTGGAAGTGGTTCATGCAGCAGCTGCATAGAGCAGTGGATTCACCTACAGGTTTAGTCATATGTACTGATACTTGTAAATGACTTGAGAAGGTTGTGGGTGCAGTGTTCCCTGAAGTGGAGTACAGAGAGTGTATGAGGCACATGTACAACAACTTTATGAAGCACTATCAAGGAGATGTGTTTACTGACCACCTATACCCTGCTGCAAGGAGTTACACAGAAGGGCTGTTCAGGTGGCACAAGCAGAAGATAGCAGATTTTGCCCCAGATGCCATTGACTTCCTTCAGCAACATCACAATTTGATATGGTACAGGTGTGGATTTTCAGAGCTAAGTAAATGTGACTATTTGACCAATAATGTTTCTGAGAGTTTCAATGCTCAGATAAAGAAGTTGAAAGGACTTCTGCTGCATGAACTTGTAGATGGGATTAGGGAACTCATGATGGAAAAGAGGTACTTAAGAAGGCAGATTGGTAAGGATATGCAGGATGGTATACTGTCCAATGTCATCAAAGACCTGAGCACTATAAGCAAAAACCTCAAAGTTGTGAAGGTTGCAAGAAGTGATGAAGGCATAGCTAAAGTAACACTTATAGATGACTGGAACAACCACAAGAGGCACATGGTTGACAGGGAGTGGCAAATCACAGGAAAACTATGCAAACATGCCCTGGCATGGATTCTTTCCAACAGAGGAATTAAAATAGCAGATTTTATGCATGAGTACTACTCTGTTGAGAGATTCAGGGTTGCATATGCTTCTAGAGTTGAGCCATTGCCAGACAGGTCACAGTGGCCACAGGTTGACCTAGGCTTCAAAGTTCTCCCTCCTCTGCTAGATAGAGCTGTAGGTAGGCCGAGTGGTGAGAATTAGAGGAAGCCTTGAGAAAAATGCTACCAAGAAGAAGGTTAGGTGTAAAAGGTGTGGAGATTTTGGGCACTTCTCTAAGACTTGCAAACAACCAGAGCTAGGAGAAGATAGTGAAGTTAGACTAAATTTAAAGGAAAAAAGGTAAAATGATTTGTATGTCTCTTTCCAATTCTTGTAACATTCCCTAGTTTTTGGTAATCATAGTGTACATCTGTAGGAAAAGGCAACAGTTGGAAGATGATGACAGTGCTGGACCTTCATAAATGAAGAAGAAGAAGACAACACCTAAGAAGAAGGGTGCACCTAAGAAGAAGAAGAAAACTCCTAAGAAGAAGAAGACACCTAAGAAAAAGAAGCAGCAAAAGAAAGATGCTGCTCTAGCAGCTAGTGTTGTGAGAAGCCTGAAGATCTTCTTAAACACCATGTGATTTGTTGTGATCACAAGAATGAAGGTTATGTATTGTAGGCCTTGAACTTTATGTATTGTAGACTTTGAACTTGATGTATTGTAGGCCTTGAACTTGATGTCTTATAGGCCTTAAACACCATGTGGCAGTTTCTTTTATCTCTTGAACGTTATGTATTGTAGGCCTTGAACTTGATGTATTGTAGGCCCTGAACCTCGATGTCTGTTATGGTCAGCACCGAATACTTGATGAATGCCAAGATCTGGAATCTCAGTCCACTTGTCAAGTGTGTTTTCTACTTTTGCTTTCAAAGCAGGTTAATTAGATCATTCAACTGTGTAGCACCATTGCTAGTTGCTTTTGAGCTGCTTCTCTGTGTTTATCTGGAAGGTTGAAAGGTCCTAATGGCTAGAGGGGGGGTGAATAGCCTAATAAAATTCTACAACAACACTTAACAAAATGTGTTAGACAATTTTGCGGTGAAGCGAGTGTTGCGCTAGCCTACTCAAAAATGCAAGCCACCTACCATAATTCTATTTCGAATAGTGTATATCCACACAATAGCTATGACACTTAGCTAAATTAGTGTGCTCTCAAAGACTAACTAAAGAGCAACACTAATCAAACAAACAAGCTCTCACAACTAGCTACACTAAAGAGCTTGATAACTAGTTTGCGGTAATGTAAGAGTGAGCAAGAGAGTTATACCACCATGTAGTGGTAGGAACCAATCAATCACAATAATGAATACCAATGTATACCAATCACCTCGGAATCAAATGATGAACACAATGATTTTTACCGAGGTTCACTTGCTTGCCGACAAGCTAGTCCTCGTTGTGGCGATTCACTCACTTGGAGGTTCACGCGCTGATTGGCATCACTCGCCAAACCCTCAATAGGGTGCCGCACAACCAACACAAGATGAGGATCACACAAGCCACAAGCAATTTACTAGAGTACCTTTTGGCGCTCCGCCGGGGAAAGGTCAAGAACCCCTCACAATCACCATGATCGGAGTCGGAGACAATCACCTCCTCCACTCAATGATCCTTGCTGCTCCAAGCCGTCTAGGTGGTGGCAACCACCAAA